TTGATTTTTTTTTTTCGTTATTTTGACTTCCAGAAAAACATGTTTTTCTCCATAACGATTCACCCGATCACCCGAACATTTATTTCAAGCATTTTTTCGATTATATACAGTGTTTTTTAATTATAGGCAAAAATCCAAATATGTCTAGTCAGTTCAAACAGTGTCATAGGCCGCATCAAGAGGTACAATTTTTGTATTTACGATTTTCGTCTATCACATACGCTGCCCTGGATATTTGAAAAATTCATATGAAAATCACTATACCTCGAGTTCAGTCAAGGCGCGATGACGTCATTGATTATTACGGCGCACTGCAGGGTTTCAGAAAAAAATTGTTTTCTCGAAAACCATTTACTATTTTGGAAAAATTCGTGGAAGATCCAGGGCTATAACCTCAATTTCCGGAATTTTTTCAAATATGTACAGGGTATGGGTAAAAAAATCTAAAAACCCTGAAAATTGCCATTTTCGTGGATAAATTATTAGCCGTACATAAAAAACTATAAAATATGGGATAATTCGGTTTAAACAGTGTCATAAACTGTATCAAGAAAGTTTCAGGTCTCGTCTATCAAACAGGGTGCGCGAGATACTTGGAATAATATCTTTGGAAATCGTTAATACTTGTACAATTTTTTATATTCATCAAAGTTTTGTCTTTGAAATTCGGCGATACGTTAAAGACGCTTTGTAAAGAGTGTATGCACATATAATAACATCGATTTTGCGAAAGGTCCATAGTGGTCCAAAGGAGCGCGATAGAAAAACAATAAATACTTCGCTCTAGCACAAGAAACCGCGAACAGGCTTCTTTTTGAAATACGCGCTACGCGCTACGAACTTACCGACGATTTTTCGTAAGCAATCTTGTTAAAAGTTCGTAGGTCACTCTTGTCGGCTTGTAGCTAAATGTCCGAAGCTGGTTCCGTGCAGCAAAATTTGATGTTTAATTAATTTTAAAGGACCGTTTTACCTGCAGGGTCCGTTATGCCTCCCTTCCCCCTATAAGAGCTAATTCCGACTGATTTGTTGGAACCAAAGATAAGTAAAACAAACATAGGTAATTAGATCATCAAAGAAATTTCTAAACAAGGACTTGCTTTCGCTGCCCATTTCGGACAATCCTGACTTTCCCAAGGTTTCAGCATGTGGAGAATAATTTATAGCGGAGCAGTACCAAATACACACGTGTACCATTTTCGGTATGTCCTTACTCATTTTCGTTATTGTTAAGGATACAAAAATGCCTATTAATATGAAAGATGTTTTTACTAGAAAAACATTATTTATTAGTTGTTTTTTTATTATAAAAATAGAGGCAAATTAAAGTTAGTTTTATAAGATTCTGCTTGTAGGTAACAATAAAACTACCTAAACTACTAACGAAATATAAAGAACGACTAAGGTCCTTGGCGATATTAAGGCCCACTATAAACAAAAACGTTGTAAAAAATATTTATTTAAATAAAAGCATCAATCTGGTATTTTTATTTAAAACAGTTCTCTTGTAAGAACATATAGAAAAATAAAATGTAACAAAATATGAAAGTTTTTCTTTAAAGAAAACTTAAACGTAAACCCGTTATTGGGAATTAGTTCCAACCATAGAGGGTAATAAGGCCCCCTTTATTTCTGTAGTGGAAAAGTAAATACACTATTCATTGCACTCCAGACATGTAACAACTTCGGCATCATCTTCACTGAGCCCAAACAATCCTCATGCATCCAAGAGTTACAGTTTCTACGTTGCCTCATATCTGCTACTCTGTTTTCACCGCAGATAACGCACGACCAGTCCCCATTATGAACGGTGTTTGCCGAGCTGCTACTAGATTAATTCTCTGATAATAAGGAATTTTTTCTAACTTTCCTAGAGGCTTTGGGCTTTAAATTTCCTGTTAAACGACAGCTTAGGATGGCAAGAGGCAAAATCATCGTTCACATCGGAATCTTCTGAACTTTCCAAATTGGTTATCATTTCAACTTGCTTTATTTGCTTGGAGGACGAGCTGGGACCAGGAAGATCTGATTTGAATGATTTCTTTAGACGTTTCTCATTTAAAATCCAACAAAACATATGTCTTGTGACCTCTTGGGCCCTGGAATTCAATTATTTCTTTCTGTTGCTTTGTTTCCCAGCGACCGGTTTCATAGCAAGAGTGACAAGAATTTCCGAGAAACTGTTTTCTTTCGAGGGAGTAACCCCACTGGTTATATGACTCTTTAGAACAGTAATAGGCACATCATTATTTAAAGCATTTGGGACATTAATCTCGGTTTCATGTTGGACTCCTTTTTGCTGTGTGGGAAAACTTGGCTCATATGTCTGTGGCTCTGAATCCATGTGCATATTATGGATGGTCATACATCTCCCTCAAACTGGCGTAAAAACTTCAGAAAATGCTTTCTTTGCTCATTTTACTATCTGAGAATTTTTCCCAATAACGTAACAACTCCTCATCCTAAAAATTTTCGAAAGAATGGAACACGCGTTTGTCGAGGAGTTGGAGTGCATGTGTGGTATCTGATGAAAGGCATTCCCAGTTGGTCAGCAGCATCAACAATTGAAATGTTGACATGTGACGCAGCACGGTCAAATATTGAGAGAACTGTCTGCTGATTAGACTTGGAAAAATGACTGAGCCATTCAATACATAAGGTCAGGAGATAATCCGTCACTAAAAGTTGGTTTCAGCCTCTGCCCTTTAAACAACATCATGGGTGGGATAGCATTTCCTAATACGTTTGTGCAGGTAACAATCGTACAATTTTCAGTGTGTTCAGGAGCAACCAGATTTACTGGCTTGTTTCCTTTTTGGCAATGACTGTCTCTTGATGATGCAGGGGGGTGAATACCTTTTCATCCATCTTGTATATTTTTGCCGGTTGATGTTTGAAGCCATATTTTTTGATAACAATATCAAATTTTTTAAAATAGTCGTTAACAATGCAGGGATTAAGCTTTTCGTTGAGACAAGGAAGGGTGCCGCTTCATAAATGCTTTATACCAGTCACGTGCAGCAATGTTTTTCTCTTTGTTGAACGGCTAGAAATGCCTTGGTTTTCAACATACTTGAATAGAGTTCGGCATATGGGACCAGAGCCCCCCTTGGGGATCGCCCCGTGTGTGAGGCGGGGAGCTCTCGGAGCGTGGATGAGAGAACGGGCCGTGGTGGGCTAGAGAGTTGCTCCGGGAATGAGGCAGGCGAGGCTTATGATGGATGAGCCTGCCCGCCCTCGGACTAGGGAGCTCCCTGGAGCTGCTTAGACTGACCAGAAGGGAGTGTAGAGCACTAATAGGGGCCTACACAGGACATTGCAGGCTTAGGAGGCATCTTTGCTTGCTAGGCATTGGAGACGACCCGGAGTGCAGGTGGTGTATGGAAGGGGAGGAGACCCCGTATCATCTGCTCACCGAGTGCCCTGCTTTGACATGGGCAAGATTTGGAGTCTTCGGAACGGCCCTGATAGATCCGGACTCAGTGCACGGTATTGGGCTAAAGGAGGGGCGGCATTCTGGACGCCCTCTAGAGCGATCTGGGGGCACAACGGGCCTATCTGGTGACCTAAGTGCTTTACCAATACACGTCGTGTAGTGCCTTTGGTGACAAGGGAAATCCTATGTCATAAAATTTAATGATTTTCCGAACTAACTCAATTTCTTGTGCTTCATTTAAGGAAGGCTCTGCTCACAGCTCCAGTGTCCAAAGGTGCGACTTGGTATTGCGCATCTTATTTCCACATAACGCTGGGATTTTCCTTGACATAGAAGCAACAGTGCTTCTTCCATCATGTCGTGTGTCCAATTGGCTCTCAAGCCGCGACATTTCTTGCCCATATTTGTGTAAAGAAAAATTAAAAAATGTATAAGGTAACAATACCCATTAAATTCAAGTGGTGGATAATAAGGCCCAACTGATATCTGTCTGGACCTTATTACCCACATTGCTACGAAATCATGTTAAGGATATGTTAAATAAAAAAAATGAAATTTACTATTGAATACTGGCTTAGTAACTGTGTTAATGTGTAAACTAAAACTTACCTTTCTTAGAATTGTTGATGTGACCGTTTGTTTCGAAAAAACGCAGCCGTTCAACCATAAATTTTATCATTTCGACCGGATAATGCACACGGCACAATAGTGAATGCTATAATTTGAAAACTTAAACGTGTATGCCTATTTGCGTATTTAATTTAAGTAACAGTTCAACACATAGGGGGCGCCACAATCCTTATAAATTCTTTTTTTATTGTTAAATGGGTGCATGGGCCTTTTTATCTGCACGGGCCTTATTACCCATAGGGACCTTACGAAAAAACAAAACTTTAAAATCAAATTTTAAATGTTTTTTTTTTTTTTGAAATGGGACACCTGGGACTCCGCTCCGCTATACCCAGGACATCAGGTACAAATAAAAGAATAAAAAAGTTCGTTACACTTGTTTATTTATTGGTAGTTACTAAATAGATTTTCGTTCAATACTTGAATAGAGTTATCAGGTAGGTTGTTTTTGTCCAATTTTAAACTAAGGAATATGTAATTTTTTCTCTATAAACGAACCAAATTGGCAAATTTGGCATCGACGCGCGAGCAAGAGAACGTTTGCCAATCGCAAGATCTGCTTCTTGCGAATGCACATTACGTGTTTGGATGTCCTCCACGAGTCATGTAAACTCCAACAAGAGAAGTGCGTGTTGTGCCGCCGCCGCACACAATCGCGGCCCACAATCTCGCATTTCGAGTTACACCCCCTCAAGTCTTTGACCAACCGCCGAGTATGGGCTCAAGGTTACGCAAGATCACCGCGAGAGCTAGCGTTCAAAGCCGCCAGAGGAACTCGTTGTCGGGTGCCTGGCGCAAAACTAGTCGGTCGCGCAGAAAGGGGGCGTTCCCAAGGCGTTTCCTCCTCGATCGTCGCCGCCCCTCCGTTATCCCGTACCTCGACGTCGTCTACTCTCGTTCGCATTCGGGTCCAGTCGACTACGATTCTCGCGTACGGAGGGTTTTGACTCTTCGCGGATAGTCAGTGCGGTGCTAGCGTACGTAAAGTATCGGCGTCGTGCAAAATCGTTTACGACGCGACTACGTGTATCAGTGAAACGCGTAATGGCCTTCACGAAATTGCCGAGGTGAGTCAGGGATGAGCGGCGGGGCGGCCGTGCTACCTCCCGTGCCGGACCTGATCCCCATCGCGGCCCTTCAACGGCGCCCTATGGGCGAGCAGCGCCCCCGGCGGCGGGCGCCCGCCGACGAATTGATCGATAACGGCTTGCCGGTCGGGTCACGTGGATCGAGCGGTGCCGCCCCGCAGCCGCCGACGCCGCCGTCCCGGACTAGAAGACGACGCCGCCGCCGTAAATCAGATCACCGTAGACGCGAGCATCAACGGGTTGAGAACGACGACGTTCGTTCTGTTGGTAAACAAGGCAATTGTGCAAGTCCCAATCCGGAACCGGAGACAACGCCGCGCGTGAACCCCATATTCGTGTGGGTCCGGCAGGAAGATACGCGAATCGTGGACGTGAAATGCGAGGACTACGACAAACGGAACCGCATCCTGCTGACGAAGACGGCGCACGGATGGCGGGCCATTCCCCGTACCGAAACGTTGGCTCCTTCGTTGACGGCTGACGACGAAAACGAGGCCGTCTCCCAACACCATCATCACCATCACCATCACCATCGGCACCATCACAGGAGACGGCCGAAGGGGAAGGGGAAGGGACGTCAGAAGACGGCCTCGGTGCAGTTCCCGGAACCGGACTCGGAACCGGAAGCGTCCTGGGCGGATTCGGAGAACGTGAACGTGGAATCGCTGCTGCCGAGTCATACGATTCACGTAACGAGGACGTCCTCTGTGTCCCCGTCGAATGTAAACAGTGCGGTGTCGGAATATGCGCAGCAGTCGGATAAAGTGTGTGACGTCAGTCCTCTAGACAATCTTCTCGCGGTCGCGGAACTGGAATTCAAACAGCAGATCCAGTCGGGAGAGTGGAGCAGCTGCGGGGGCGACGACAACGCCAACGATGTGTCCTACAAGAGTAACGACCCGAATTCGGGATCGTTTAGCAACGCAGACGAGTTAGCGGAGACCAAATCCGAGGTGGGTGATTACAACGAAGACGACGAGGCCAGCCTGGCGATGAACGATATCTTGTCCAGGCTGGAACGGTCGTTGCAGAGTCCGGAACAGCGGATCGACGAAGCGATAGATAACAAACCACTACCTGAGCACCCGGTTGACTCCGGGGTGAAGGAAAAGACTGAAGAGGTGCCGCCGTTGGAGATCGAACCGTCAGACCAGCCGACCGACTTGTCGTTGAAAACGAAACGAGACCTCGAATGCGAGCTTACGATTGACGTCGGCCCGACCGACTTGAGCACGAAAAAGGGCAATCGCTCGCCGAGGCCTCCGTCTCAGAGCTCTGAAGCGATCCAATCACCTCAGCCTAGCGGTATACCGGCGGTTCCCCAGTCGCCGGACACCGTGTCCACCACGACTGCTCGAAACAAGTCCGTGTTCCTAGAGTCTTTGTTGTCGAACGCCGCCCAGAAGATGGCGCTCAACGCGGAAGTTACGATAACTCGTCAGAAAGAACCTTTGGACCTGGGCAACTGTCGCAAGTCGGCTAGTCCGACGGTGACGTGTTCGGAAGAGATTATCAACAAACCGAGCGACGAACCGCCTAGCAAACGATTTAAACCTGACGACATCACGTTGAAAAATCTCCTCGACAAAAAGGACGAGGTCAAATCGCCCGAACTGCCGAAACTGTTGAAGCTTTTGGACGAGCGTTCCGACCCCGTGACGGAATTCAAACAGCTTCTGAGCGAAATCGACCTCCCTGATCCGATCATGGTGCCAAAACACTCGTTCCCCAACTTGCTGCGGAATCCCAAGCGCGAAATATTGAAACTGTTGCGGGAAAAGTCGCACAAGGACGTTCACATAGAAGACATACTAGTCGTGTACAAGGAAAAACTTCTATCAGCCTTGGAGATGAATTCGAGGTGCGCGGAAGATACGAAACCTGAGAAAAAAGCGGAACGGCCGGAAAAGCCCGAAGAAGGGATTAGGAGGACGGCATCGGTCGAATGTTCGGGCAAACGTTTGTCGCCCGAACAAAACATCTCGGCCAACGATATCGACGCGGCAACAGAAGCGGCCTTTAACCAGATGATGTGGTTCCCGTACCAGAACCATCTCGCGAACAATCAGGACCTTTTGCAAGCTCTTTACAGTTCGTTACCGTTCGTGCCCAATCAGTACAACGAACTGCCGACCGGTCTGCAGATGATGCTGGGTAACAAGGTGCCGCCGCCTCTATCGCCAGTCGGATTTCCGATGCCGCCCATGAACTTTACCAATCCGCTGGAATTTGCCATGTGGCAGGAAGCAGTCATGCAGGCGAACTTGCTGAGAACCGCCAAAAATCCGTACGAAAATTCGATTCTGAACCAACCCTTCAGAGGTAATAAGTCGCATAAAAAACCCCATCAGAGCGGCAACTCGAGGACCTCGGGTAAGATTCAGCAGCAGCAGACTCTCCTGCAGGGCCGTTACGGCCAGACGAATGTGGAAAATCATCAGAACTACCAAAATCCGTACTTGGGGCTCGGCGGGTTCCAACAGGGCAGCAACAATATCAGCTTAAACGTGCCCCAGTACCATCCGTTCCACCACAAAACCAATCAAGTTGGAAACAAGCACCGTGTCGGTCATAGTCAAAAGCAGAAAGAAGCGCAATTGCTGAGCGGTTTGAACCACCAGGAGCGGCAAACTCAGCGACAATTCCGTATGCCCAAAGACTATTTCCATCAGCAGAGCAAACAGTACAATCATCATTCGGTGCATCAGCACAAGGCGAGCGCGTCTTCCGCGGCGGGCAAACCTTTTGCGCTTCCCAGAGGTCTTCAACCCGAGACGGTACAGAGACAGGGCAATTATCAGCCTATCGATTTGTCGGGCGCGCAGAACGGAAACACCAAGGTCAAAGGCGCGGCGAAGTTGCCTTACGGTGGGACGTCGTCGTCGCCATCGTCGAAGGGCCACGAGGAAATGCCCGAGGTGGGTAGCACGACTGCCAGTATAGAAGAGATGCAGGACGCGCACACTCACCTCTGGCACCCGTTGTTCGGAAGGTAATTGTCCAAGTGGTGAAAACCATTTTTTTTTTCATACATACAGCATACATTCCACGCGATCATCTTTTTTACCAAGATTCTTAAATATTTGAAACCAGATTATTTATGGGGTTCGGGTATCCATAAACGCAAATTAGTTTACTTAATTTTATTACTATCCTTAAACTTTGAATGAAACTTTTCATCACCTTGCTAGTTTGTTTCACTATTATCAATAATCTTCATGTTTTAAACTGTATTTGTCTCTCTATTCGTGTACTTTTTCTTTCTTTGCTTTGGCTTTTTATCCTAGTAGTAGTGGTTAAAATATTGTTTTTCTTATTTTTTTGTGGGGTAAGTTTTAGTCATTTATTTATTGCAACTTTTTTTCTCTGTTGGGTTCATTATTATTAATTCATATGATAAGTACAAAAACGAAATGGTTGATCAATTTTTCGTTTCATACGTTACATAGTTTAAAAATTTAATTATAATTAAGTTTAGCAGAAATGGTAATGACTACGCAATTTCAATGTCAATGACTTTTTCTGTTCTGTGTACATATACATTTTCGAATCGTTCATCCTTATAATACTATATTTACCATCGCCAGTCCCGAACCTGTTCGGTTTATAAACCGGTATACAAATCGAATAAGTTTGGTAAGTTATTATTTATCAATCTAAACTATTTTGTACCTTTAACTAATATGTGTGTTAAACGCATTCCGCAATTTAACTTGGCGAACATGAAATATTTAATCCGGGGTGTTTCTACACCACGAACAATCAATTGACTAATGCGCATGTGTTGGTTTTGGCGAACATAGCTACATAGATACTTAAACAGTATTTTGAAGTTGCAAAGAATGATGCAAACAGTTCGTAATTTATGGTAGGATACCAAAAGCTATTATTTAATTTGTTTAATTTAGACTTAAGTATGATCAATTGTAGCCGCCTCTCGTTCGGTCGGATAGGAGAACGCGATGTATATCTATAATTAAATGGCGGCGGTCTACGAGGTGCTACGAAAAGGGCATGTATGGTAGGGTCGCCGATTTCAAATACTCAAAAAATTTTAAACCCACACCAATATTATTTTAAGTGTTCGTTATATTTATATATATCATATATGTCGTTCTTAATTTAGCTTAGATTTTTGTGCTTATAATAAAATGCCTTTTTAATTCATCATTGAAAACTTCGATAGTAATTGTTGCTATAGTCTTTATTTTATGGATTTTCGAAATTATGCTGAGGTACCAAAAGTTTCATAATCACACTGATTTTTGATATAAACGATGCAAAGCAAAAAAGAAGAAAAAAGAATTAAGACAGTGGTTGAAGATTAAATTTTTATTAACACAAGTGAAGAAAAAAAAATAAAATTTCAGATGAGTAGGAGGCCACGAACTAATTCGAAATATGTGACGGTCTAAGCAATGAAATATATACATAGGTCAACTAACGCTTAGTATGTGGGAGAGTTAGTCCTGATAAAAAATATTTTTTTTAAGACAATTGTTTGAATTTTTGTTTTTGTTAGCTAAAGTTATATTACACAAATATTTTGCGGTCTTAAATTTCATGCTATTTCAAAAACTTGCCCTAAATCCCGTATTTTTTTTTGGAATAATTTAGCACTTTAAATAAATCATCTTCGTTGGTTGAACTTTTAGTAGGCCACTACACTTGAATCGCCGTATAGATATAGTTTTCGTGAAAAGGTCGTATTATTCACACAATAGGCCTCTTATTCGTGACTCTATACAATAGTTCCGATATTCTAATAGAAAATTTATCGAATAATTATTTAAAAATGCAAAGTGCCTTTCACGCGACGTCAGCAATTATTCAAAAACGAGTTTGTGATAAGCTATCGGCGTGAATAAATTTTAAATCATTTTCGTGGAAACCGAGATAGATGTTTATATGAACCATGCTACTTATCATAAAAATGTTGCTGTTATATAATATATATATATATATATATATATATATATATATATATATATATATATATATATATATATATATATATATATATATATATATATATATATATATATATATATATATAACAGCAAATATATATAATATATATGTTGCATAATATACTATTTTATAAATTGAGTATATAGGTTAGCTAACTCTAACGGATGCTGCATGCATATATTTTATTACTTAAACATTAGGCCACGAAAGTCACATATCATTCCAATCCTATGGTCTATTATCAACCACTCATCTAAAGTGTCACCATCTAATGATGACTGTTTGTCTTTCTTTTTTTCTTTGCTGTTATTTACGCCTAAAGTTACCCTCTTCAATCGTTCGTTCTGTTCTATTTCCTTATTTCTCGCATTGGGTCTGTACCAAAAACTTTTTTATCTTTGGCTAGTGGACGAATTAAAATGCGCACATGAAGTTTGGAAAATTTTGACTTTTTTTTGTAAAAATTTTTCACATTTAATAATAACAATTTTTTCTTCACTTTTTTAATCTCGTTAATGAAATCTTTGTTTGACAATGCAATGACTATTATCAATTTTTCATAAATATGACATTTCATAGCTATCTTATATTTGCAAATATGTCAAAATAATTCGAATTTGTTAGACAACTATTTTTATTAGAAAACGTCACCATTTAGATATAGGAAGTAATATATGGATTGAAAGCGATTTTAATTATATTTAAGTAAACAGGATATCTCAATTGGAAACAGTATTTTATGCCGATTTTTAATAAGAAGATAAAATCATGTTTTTTTATAACTATGGGACAAGGGAACACTAAAAATTGGAGTCTGTTTCAGCTGAAAAATATGGAAAATATTTAATATCTCGAAAACCACTAGAGATATGTATAGGAAACTATTTTTCGACTCCCGTCTGTAAAATACCTATTTACAGACCCATCTAGCTTGCGGGAAGCGTCACTTTAAGCACGTCGGTTTCGTTTCCCACGGATCCGAACCACTTCGGACATTTCCGCGCTTTTACCGCACGGGTATGGGAGCAATCGGATCTTTTCGGAGATATTCCCCACGCCTTGAATTTTGACGTTTGTCAATTCTGACGATCATGTCAGTGAATGTATTCGTGTTGTTTTGCGAAAATGTATCCAAAAACTAACTGTCGTAGCAAAAGTATAGTATGCAACACGTTCGGTAAACTTCTTAAGTCGCTCGTTTATTAAACACTCGCTCCGCTCGTGTCAAATAAACTGGTGAGTCAAATGTTGTTTACCGATTTAGTTGCATAATATACTATTTGAATGATGAAAATGCAAGAATGAAAATTTTCACTACTTTTTGATATAAGCGGCAACGCCGTACGCTTAAAATATTTTAGGCCTGTGTTTAGTTCCGTTTTTTATCAACCGTGACATACCCTGTATACAAATATACCTAAATTCACCAAAATTTGTGTAACAAAGTACTTGGTTTTTTATTTTAGCAACAAGGGATACGGCCAGTGGGGCGTGCCACCAGTGACCGCGACGGGGGAATAACACAGGTTTCCTCCTCCGAAGGCGAACTTTTGGAGGACCAGCGCACACCACCTTCAGGGCTCCAGACGTGTCACCGAAATGACTCCATTAGCAACAGGGTTCGATTTTGATTTCCTTTCCAAATGAAGTTGACTCACGCATCAGTGATCGGACAATCTGGTAAATTGGGTTCTTGGCCAGGGCCCATATTCACTCACAAAAACTACATATACTTATGATCCATGTATACCAACTTGTTATTTATTTTGCACTGGATTCGTGAACATCAGGCACACAAGTTTGCGAGGAACACTTTTACTTCCGAGTTTTAATTGGACTTACCGCCTCGAGCTGATACAAAAGGCCACTAGTGTAGCCTTAGTCTTCTATGAGTACTAAATGCTAAAAACTAAAGAAAAGCGCAAAGCGCATAATGCCATATCATGATATAGAAAGAATTGAGTTAATTACGCTATAACAATTTTATGGCAAAATGTAAATCCATTTTTCTTTTTCTGATGGATATATATCAGTGTATTTCCATACTTTTTACTCACCGCATACGGCGTTAAATGAATCACGGTCTAACATATGAGTCACAAAGTAATATCAACTTGATAGACGAAAGTCTGAAAAATCCCCAGCCTCCAATAGGAACAATGGCACATCCCTATTGCAAAAAGCCGCTTCCTCCAGTTCTTCCACTTTTTTTAGGGTCCACTGGTCAATTGAAATGTAAATCAAATCCATTCTATCAATTACAGCCCTGTTCCAGGGTAATTGTCGCTTAAAAGCGGAACAAAATATATAGGGCGACACATCTTTTGTATCATTTTCAATTGCGATGATCACGAAGGTCACGGGAAACTGGTGAATGTTTACGATGACATTTCGACTCGTAAGCTATTGCATCAAATGGTGCACAGTAAAACAGAATCTGCTATATAATTATGTCAAAAACTGACAAGAGATTTATATCGTTTTAATACAGTACCAAATTTTGAAGAAAACAGTTCTGGTTAAATTAATTGATAATTACGTTTCTAAGATTTCGAATTATTTAATTTTGTTTAATTATTTAAAAAGTTTGAACCCCTTAGCTCGCAATTGTCGATCTATGAACTTTATAGATTTCAAAAGTGTTATTTTCTGTTAAACGCCTACGACAATTAACGGATACACTCTGTATCTGTACGCCTAAACATGCTCATTTGTTCGTCAGGTGTTTTCAACCAAAGAAATCGATTGGCAGCAAACGATCTGGCAGGCGCAATGTTCCAAATTCCAAACCTGCAAAGTATAATTTTTTTAAAAGCCTTACTTAAATTAACACAGAAAAAGTGTTTCACATATTGAAAGAAATTTAAACAATAATATTATAAAAGTCCAAATATTTGCTGCAAACCTTAAATTTACGGGATAGAAACATAATCATTAAGTATACCAAAATATAAATTTCTTCCTAGGTCTTCAAAAATATTTTTTAAGCTTTTGGTTTATTTTGTCTTTTTAATTTTTTTTTTTTTGGTACAATGAAAAATTTCACACATATTGAGTGTTTCTCAATTTGTTGGCGCCTACTTAAAGAAATCAATTTTTTCCTTCAATTAAGGAAATCATCACCTAGTAATCAAATTACATACCTTTACTATATTTGTATAATAATTTATATTTTAAAATATTCTCAGATGATTTACATCAATCTCAAAGAACTGAACTATTTCTACATGGTCCGCTTTATATGTCATTTAGCTTAATCTTTTTTTTTTAATTAGTTAACTCTTTTACTTTTTTTAACATTGCAAAAATAAGTCACGGATTGTTGTAATGAAATTAATAATTAAGTGTCTTAAACAAAAATACTTTAATCTATAGACACACTTTACTATACGAACACAGTTGCTGTAAACTAAAAAAAAGCTCTTTTTCCTGTACTCTAAATTTCAAATTTTATTATTCTTGATGTTTGAGTTATTATTTTTATTGATTTAATGATTTACAAAAATTTTGGAAAACAATAACCGAGATTTGACAATATTAACACAAATATTCAGAGTCGTTGCTAAAAGTTTTATATGCTTATCGTCATCAAATTGAAAAATCAACTTTTAACAAACAAAAAACCATTAAGAGATTTATATGATAATTTTACAAAACGATGATAAGAATTGGACTTAAGTTAAGCCAATAAAGAATTAAAAATATATGCACAATATTTCTACCCTCTATGTTTTTCTGGTGAGATGAGAAAATATAATCTTAAATTACTATAATACTATACTAAAGTATTAAGGAGTTACTTATAAAGTGTAATATAATACAACTGCTGCCCTTAATATACTTTCAACAATATATCACTTATCATTTTGCTATATTTGGATTCCGAATTGTGTTATCTACTAGGTACTTATAAGGTAAAAAATAATTTCTTGTGCACTTCACTACATGATTGCATTCCTTTGCTGGTCATCAAGACTTATTTTTTCAAGGAAACTTCTACAGGCTACTGTAATACTATTTACAAATCTTTTGAATTCCTCCTGCGTCAGCAAGTTTGATTTATCAACAACCGACTCAAGGAGAAATCCAAAAGATTTGTAAATAGTATTGGTCCACGATATGACCATAATATTAATAATAATAATAATCATAATAATAATAATGATAATGGCTTTATTGCAATGTACAATTATAAAAGGCGAAGTTGAAGCTTTAACCTATTTTCCTAATCTAACCTAATGTTATGGCTGTTAGGTTACGGAGGTTATGACTCTTCTATGATGGATAGGCTTAGAAAAAAACAGTTTTGAAAAGAAAAGATAAAAGCGTCACAAAAGTGATGAGACGATCTTTAAAGCTACTTTGTACTTCATTATAAGAGCTGTAGGTACACCTGATAACTAAATGTCTTAAATCAAAATTATGAATGTCATGCTGAAATTTTATTTTTTGATATAAATAGCGTGGATATCTGTATGATCTTTATTCTAAAGTGTTTTTCTCTCAGAGGGAGCCACCCAATGTCTCTCATTTTGGCCATCACTCCATTATCGTATTTTCTGATCTGTTCCATGTGCGAACCTCCTCGAATGATTCGAGAAACCTAACTCGTATCGTTTTAACGAAGATCGGGATAGCGAACAACGTATGCAACAGATCGAACGTGTATGGCCAATCGTTCGGAAAGGTCAATTTGCATTCGAATAGCGGGATGCAGGAAGTGGCGATTTCGCGGAAAAGTCGCGTGGCAGAGGCGAACGAGAGAGAGAGAGAGAGAAAGAGCGCCAGGACACCGACCGTTTAAAATTAGAATCTCCGGTATCGGTCCGTGTGAACTCGTGACCCCGCTTCTGATCCTCTTCTCGTATACTTTTGCCCGGGACGCCCGTAAATTCGGCTAGATACGTGCAAAGTACCGCGCAGCCGCGTCACGTCCTTCTCCATGATTTGCTTTTGAAATTGAATGATAGTATATAATCCAGTCTAATTAGAATTTGGGGCGCTTTCTTCTTACCGCCACCTGGTATCAGACTCGACAGGTAACTTGATAGAAATGAATTGGCAACCGATGTTTAATTTGGAAAGTTTGAGAAACATTATTTTTGACTTGTATGGTTTTTTAGAAAGAAGTTTCATTCAAAACTAATGCGCCCCAAAAATACATACCTAGATGAGATTTGAGTGAATCGGTTAATAATCGAAAAAGTTATCACAAAATAACAATAGCAGGATATATTGAACAAACTTAAAGCATTGAAATTTTCAATTTGTTAATAACTTTCTCGCTTTTTTTAATTGTTTATGTGAAAACGACGATAGGCGTATGCGCAAATCAAAGATCAAGAATGATCCTAGTAATATCAGATAAGAAAATTATCATCAAATCATTTTTTAAATAGAGTAACTCATCGGAAACTGCTCAATCGAAACGCTGATAACTGGAGGTGATAGTTGATTTTTTGACGATTTTAAAAAAAAACTAGATACGACAAATGCGAGCAAAAAAAAAATTTGTTTTTCAAGAACTCACTGTAACTTGTTTATGAGTACCTAGTAAGAAATCATTTTGAACGTTCAAAAAAAAAATTGCCACTCAATTTTTTCCAAATTTAATATGTATGTCGTTAGTTTTTTCGAGTTTTTGCCATAACTTTTTTGTTTATTATTCCATTCACTCAAACCGCCATTTTTTAGGTATTTTCAAGGCACTTAACTTTTGCAAGAAGCCTTTTTTTGAAACTATAGCTTCAGCTACAAGTTTCAAAAAATGTTTTTTTCACAGCTTAATTGTGAATAAGCAAAACTACTAGTCTAATACCGGGTGGCAGTTTACAGGAGAGTCACGTCGATTTGGCTCTAATTCGGCTGTTTCAAGTCAAATCAGTGAAGTCAGTCGAAACATCGTAAAAACATAAAGTTGGCCACTTTCATTACTTACATAAAGGAAATAATTTTCAATACTTTCCAATACGCAGGTCCATCTTGTTTTTAATTATCAAACCAAGTGACTGAGAGTTTAGCAAGCAATGCAAACTCTCGCAGGTGTCTACAGTAGAATAGACACGTCTTTTATCATAAAATGAGGTCACTTTGATATACGGCACCAGACTTTTTCTTATCTCTTCCAATGCATTTCGCAAGTATTACAATAGGGAAATTTATCACAAAATGTTTTAAAGAATAGATTACACATAACAAAAGAATTTCTCAGATTGAAGAAAAAACGCTTGGGTAGAAAAAATAATAGCTTATCGAAATATTTCCTTATAACAACATTTTGTCATTAGCATCAGTCAGCAGAATTTTCTCTATATATGAACGAGTTATTTAAATTCTAAATGCTGAATCATTATAGAAATCGGTTAGTTTTGGTTGGAAGCAGCAAAAGCAGAAGCAGGCTTGTGAAACTGAAATTAAATGTTTTAAAAATTTTTCTTAGTTTAACAATTTTGCTGTTTTGATTCTATTCTTCCTTTAACAATCTGGAAAGTTTTGGAGTGAAGAGTTTAGTCTTCGTCCGAAATTATCTATTCGTTTGAAATGAAGTTATTATTTTAAAACACCCTACCTTCGTTTAAACTGGTTTAAACTAAATCAAATAGTGCAGTTGTTTTATTTCTAAAAGCTTGAAACTAACCAAATTTTAATACAAAAGAATATGTATAGAGATATACATAGTGAGACAAGACATTACTAGTAATAAGTAGTAATTAATTATACAAAATTAATTTCATTATTTACAATTAAAAAAAATTAACCCTTCCTACCGATAATCTGGAAAGCGTTTGTGCAACGTATTTATATAGAATAGTTGCACCATAAGAAAAGCTTGATTAAAATCATGTGCCACGGTTGTATATATCGGTAAGGGAGTGTTTTAAATAAAATATAATCATCTCGATAGTAAAACTCTTACTCTTACTTATTTTGTATGTTTGCATTTTACACGCCACTACAAACTGAACTGACATTTAGGCTCGACATGTCCACTGCAATAAATTTTTATTGATGTCGAAAATAAAAACGGAATGGATTGCAAGGAAGATGATCTGAAGTGATAATTAAGGAAATTGATAAAAGTTTAAGGAGCATAATAATGTCCTTCGCATTTCGAAAATGGGTCCGAGATTTCAGACGATGAGAAATCGCGTCGTACAGTCACGTGTTTTCTTATTAGAGCAACAGCCCCGCGAGAGAGATTTATACCGCCGTCCTTCATATATCTCGTGCGGCGCGAGTGCCGTATTGATTTCGCCCGGTCGATACCCCAGCACGCAATTACACCACAACCCAGCGTGTCAAATTTAGAAGGAAACGATATCGTGCAATGTTGCCGCGTTTCCCGACACACCCTCCCACGCGCCGCCTTTTTCATTCGACTTGCCCTCATAAAGCGAAGAACCAAATAGCAGCCGTAGCACGGATGTTTGGCAACCGCGCACTTTCTTTAATAATTAAATTAAGCTGACGTTTATCCTAAATTTTCCGCTCACATCCTTCTCCCCAAAATACAATGTCAAGATTTCGCTGTCGGCGATTACATGCGGCCTCTGGTATAATTTTTATGAAACGTGCCCATGGCAGAGTGTCTGTCTACTTTTATCTATGTATATGCGTTATCCTTAAGCTTATCGAAAAGGTAAAAAAAAAGTTACGGAATTTTTTTCCTTAGAATGCAGTGATATAGATATTTTGTTTCATATTTACTATTTTTGAGCTGACAAATCAGAAGTTATGTTTATGGTTCTCAGAAACAATCAAATCTGCTAGTATCAAATGCAGAATTGTAGGTCAAGGCCTATTGTTGAGGACAAGAAACATAAATAAATGCCAAATATATCTTATCGAATCTTGGTTTATAAAGCACTTTATTTTAAATCTTTTGGCAATTTTATTTAATTGATATACAGAGTACTTAATGAAAAATATGAATAAGCTCTGCTCTAAGTAAGCTAGTATGGCTATGAAATTGTCTATTATGGCCTAGTCCTCTAGTCCAGCTAAGTAGTTTAAATCCTATTTTAAAAATTCGAGAGTACAAAAGAAACTAAGTATGTGCGATTTTTTTAAAAACTCGTAAATTTGTAGAAAATTGAAAAGCAAACAACTATTTCCAATAAAATTTTTCGATATTTTCAATTTTTTAATATATTTTGACAGGTGTTTAAAAACCTATATGTATAAATTCGATCAAAATTTGCAATACTTAATGACAAAAAATATCCCCATATAATATGGACATTAGTGGTAACACTGTCTATGTATGACAATCATAGTTGATGGCTATAGTCTTAAAAAAAATGCCCATTTTGATTCCTTTTCAATCGTGTATGTAATTTATAGTAAATCATAATAAGTAACTAAGAAAACTAAGTTTTCCACAAAAAACTATGTGTGACGGAATGCAGAATCTTATAAAGATTAAAAAAATTAATTCACATTGGCAGATCATAGCCAACTATGATTGCCATATAAAGTTGATTGAAAATTCTCACTCGGTAGTGAAGATATCACCATGAGTCTTTTATCATTATTCATTATGCATAACATAGGAAACTACTGTATAAATCCTGTATAATAATATGCCAATGCCAATTCAATTAGCTAAGAAACATTAAGCGTAAATAGGCGTCGAAGACACGCTTAAGTATCTATTAGTCATATCTACACAATCTCAATAATCGTTTAATTTTTATCTTTTTCACGCTCCAAATATAATGCTAAATTTAGGCCAGGACGTTACAGTTTTTACGACGAAAAACTGACTGATATCATAAACAAAATTTACGATATTTATTCTGACTGCGAAGAAACACACAACCGCTGACGTCACGCGTTGCAAACTTTCGCGATCTTCAGCTTTTTGAACGCCGTGATTTTGGAAGACTGCGAGTTCAGTAAAACCGACAACGTGGCATTTACGCACTTGCCATTAGCAGGCATTCCGCGTATAGAAATGCGTAACGAACGGCATTCCAGTTTTGGCTGAGGCCCCTGCCTGATTGATCGATTGACTGATAAAAGTGTAACCCAGTTAGTCCTTGTTTTTGTGCTCTTCTGCCCGATTTCGGACTGCGACGACTCTTTTCCATTGTCCGGAACGATGTTATTTTCGACGGCGTTTGCTATAAATTTCGATTATGCAAAATCACGTGAATTATTCATGAAGTATTCATTCTCTGGGGGGCGAATCCTGACAAAATCAAATTTGAGCCGAATATACAGTTACGTGTGACAATACGAGAGCGGATATGTCTTTTGCTCTCGAAAAGCCATCGTCGAATCGCGAAAGATTTTGCCGTCTTGGAAAATCACACACTTTCAAAATGGAAGACAAAAGTGTTGCCATACATTCAATAAAACAAAATCAAGTGGTTTCGTATCGCTTTCCCGTTTACGTGCTAGTGATAAAGGCAAAAACGCAAGGTTGGGTCGGTATGGCAGCGCTGTAAACTACTGTCATCTTGCGTACCAGTGGCGTATGAATTAAAATGGTCGACCAAATTCAAAAGACGTTTAAATTTGTGAAAATTAAATCAATTTGGAGAAATTGTTTTAACGATTTATAAGATTTGCTTATTTAACTTGATTTAAAGATCCGTTATTATTATTATAAAATCTAAAGACAGGATCTTCTATAAAAACGTGGCAATACGAAAGTATATATTTTGAAATGAAATCTCCCATATTTTCCCAAGGAATTTTTATACGACAACGTATTAATTAATTAAACTTCTTTTGAAAAAATAAAGTATTTTTATTTGATAATCTGTGCTTGGAAACCTATCAAAATTTGCGTTATGATTTCGAGAGAATTATTAAATTGTTTTCCAGAAAGTATTAGTAGGATTATTTAACAATTAATCACTAATTCGTATGTTTAATTTAAGCATTTTAACTTTATTTACTATTTCAATGCATATCTTTACATGATTTCGAGTAATTAAAAAATAATCGTTTTTTAACGGCTTATTTTTGGTAAAACAAGAATTAATTAAATGTAGTTTACAAAGCCAATTTTATACTAACAAAAATGTATTTTTAAGTTAGCAGGTCATTAAATCTATTGCATAAATTTAAAACGTAAATGTACCACTTTTATTTTACATTCCGAGCGCACTAGATTGCGATAAATTAACGTATTTTTATAAACGATTAATAAAAATGGATATTACGGAAAAACTGGAATCGGGGTAACCTTAACACATGGTCTGAGAGCAATAACTTAAAATGATAAAGAAAAATAAAAAAGAATATATTGTTTAAATTTCCTTTGGACTTTGGAAAACCCCATTTATGAAAAAATGCTTTAAGCGCTTTACTGAACTTTTACATTTGACTATTTTAAGGCCTATTTTTTGGTATTATAAGAGGATAAGGATGGAGAGACCAAAGTTGACAACGTGGCATTAGAATTCTTGGATGAATCATATTATGCCACAATATATGGGAATTCGATTTAAAAGAAAATCATTTTTGTATTTTCCCCCAAATTATCAAAATTTAGCTACCCTATAGAAATGTTCTATTTACTTTTTCAAAGAAACTTCCACAGCCTACTGTAATACTTTTTACAAAACTTCTGGATTCCTGCTGCTCCGTTTTTTTTCTGAGTCGAACTTGCCAACGTTTCATATATCATCCTGTTGGCTTCTTCAGAGTTTCAGTCAAGCTCTGAAGAAGTCAACAGGATGATTGGCGAAACGTCAGCAAGTTCGACTCAGCAAAAACCGACGCAGGAGGAATCCAGAAGTTTTGTAAAAAGTATGTTCTATTTCTGCTTAGCTACACTGCTATATAGACACTTGTGAAACGTTACAGTTACGCATGTTCTATAGAACTTCTGTTCTACAGATGTAGAAGTTAAACAGTTGAGCTTTACTTCTAGACGTAAAAGTTTCATCGCTTTTAATTGTAAACACTTCTATTCATATTTGTACACGCATATATCGAAAATACCTACGCGAACACCGACATTGTATGACGATGTGACATATTGCGAGAAGCATGCAACATGTCGTGATCACGCAAGAATGAGTACCATAATAGCAAAACGACTAAAAAAACTCGTAAAAGAACCTAATACTACAGATTAAGTTTTATCTGATTCGGTTTTAATCGAAAAAATTTGCATATAGAAAGCAGATTTGATCCGTTATTAAGATTCCGCAGCGAGATATTGACTTTGCTCGAGTGCAGCGAAAATAGTCGCATCTTGGTCTCTTGTGACGGATCAACCGTGAAAATCACCGATTCGGATACAGACTATTGCTAGTTTACCTGCGGTATCAAATTTAAAATGCTCATTTTGAAATTCCCCAGACGATATTTTTATTTTAGTCCGAGACAGCCAAATCTAGACTGTACGGCGGCCCCGGTATACCTGAAAGTACAGTTTTTTCATATTTCCTGCAAGTGGCAATTTCTACCTCAACACTTTGTTTAAAACCACACCTTAAGTGAAGTAAAATTGACCTTTAGTAATTAAATTTTGTAAATTAATCATAAACCTCAGACTATACAACTATTAAGAAATTATTGATTGACTAAAAGCAAATTTCAGCTTGTCTCTATTATTTGCCTAATTGGGAAAATAGCCTTTTTGATTCTGTTACTGCAATACAGAATTCACAAGAAAGGCACCCAATGAGCTTGTTATTATAGTTAAATAGTAACGCAACGAGCATGATGTATGAAGTAGGTCATCGCGCAGTTAAGGATTTAAAGAGAAATTAGATTGTGACCTGGTATATTTGCATACGTATTTATGAGAGGCGAGATGTGCAAAACAAACTCGCGATTTTTTATTCGAAATCTGGGTTAACAAAGCACTTGAATTTTTTACGGGTTTATTAATTAAATTCCGCGTTTTTTACGAACAACTGAGAATTTAAAAATCTCTAAAGAGTTATTATTACCTCCAGCAAATATATTTGTAGGGTGTTTTTATTACATTTTCGCCAATAACTTGACAAAAAGAAATACAAATTTTACAACAATGTAGTACACAGTAAAGCGAAAATGGTGGAGCAAATTTTGAGTAGTTTTCAAAATTTGGTTGAAATTTTTATCACCAACCTAAGAACCCATATCCATAACGTTTTGAATTAAGTACATTTAAATAATTTAAAATTGTCACAATTAGTTTTTTACAAATAAAACTGTTGCTACTGTTTGGTTGCAGGTATTCAGGGAAACGTATTTTGAGCGTGACTGAAGGAAATAGTGACGTGATTGTTCACAATGTACGGGTCGAAGACTAAACACAATGTCCCGCCGGTGGGGATCGTAAAAAAAGTACTAATTACCGCGCCAAACAAAATCGTACCGGTATATACGAAAGAACTCTGCAAATCTGGTATATAGGAGGTTTTTACGGGTTTATTGACACGCACCAGCGACTTTATGCTCGCTTCACATTACTATACTTGCTCGCTTACAAGAAAACTTCCAACCCGTATATTCTACAAAGATAATAGGTATACGTAGTTTCTATTTTACATGGGTAACGCGTGGAAAAAAGTTATAACTTCAACTGATATCCAAGTTAAAGTTATGAAAATGAAACTTTTTGTTTCTTTATTAACTTATTCCGATAACTTTAATTCATTTTATAGTTTTTTTAACTTTTATTCTTATTTAACATAATCGAAATTAAAAATTCGCATTAAAGCAGGATCCATGGAACTGGATGGTAGCATTGTAAGTAGTGTTCTGGCCTAAATTCAGATCAGATTAAAAAACCTGATTTTAAAGCACTTACGGGTCAACTAGCAAGTATATTTTATACCTCACCTGGAATTTTTTGGGAATCTTTTGAGGAACTATACTTTACTTTATTTTGATAACAGTTTTAGTTAAACATATTTTGTTTAGTTTACTTTTCAGCTTTTAGTTTCATTATCCTCTCCTTCCATCGAATCGACTGTATCCATAAAAAGGGCTATAGAAGAGGGTCATTTTTTATTCCCGTATAGAATCCAAATCGACTTAGTCGCCATAGGCTTGGGCGCAAACCTAACCTAAATAATTGGTAATATCTGGTCCAATATAAAGGCCACAACATGACACTATAAATAATCAGTAGGAATTTCGAATCGTTATGAGCTTAATGCGATGTTTTTAAAAGATGTGGGTTACATACATTCCGTACCAGTCTCGATGAATTTGGTCGAGCCGGTACCGAGATAGATTTATTCGATAAATACGGGTTTGTAAATGTCACATCGTATACCTCATTAAGGTCATCAATTGTAGAAATCTACACTTGGCAACGAGATAACCGTGTTTAAAAATTAATTTATTCTGTACCCGTCGAGATTTTTGCCTGATGTTCTCGATTCGGTAATGTTATTGCCAGATAAAAACATTCCAAACCCGATTACACATGATAAAATATTCGAAAAAAAATGTTCCTGAGTGTAATTTTAAACGAACGATTGTATCTTTCACCCTAGCATGTAAATAAATGAGAATTTGATGTTTTACGGACTTATTATTGTATATCGACGTTATGTTTTTCTGTGTAACCGATTTATTCACTATGTATATCGGGTGATTCGCGTTCGATGTTTTAACTTTTGCCACATCTATTCCGAGACCAATGGCAAAATGGAACACATAATTGCAACTACCTTTCCTAACATCTGAAAAAATAATAAACCTTTTTTTCGAAAATCACTGCCTAAATAATGAATTTAACTCTTGTAGAGTGTTCCAAATATGAGTATCTTTACGAAAATTTTAGTGTAGTATCTGTAATAAAGTATAGGGTGGTCTATTTGAAATTCCAAAGTCGCCATTAGTCGGGGTTAGATCTGGGAAATGTCATTTTTGTTGCAGAACTTTTATTAGGTCACTCGAGGTGAATCGCCCTGTATTTCTAGCGATATCGGTTGATCCGTGCAATGTGTTTTCGTTAAAGTTTTCGTGTTTTCATTTTCGAAGTATACCATTTGAACGGTTGTAAAAAAATTGTCTGTATATATAAAAACTGTACTCCTAAAGTATGTTTGAGATTAGAACTAACGCATCCTACCGACAAAAAGCACTTTTCCGAAGGGGGCCGCATTTTAGATAGCCAATTTTTTCATTTGGTATATATATGTACGAAATTTTTGTAAAATAGTTGTTATTTCTTGATTAGTGACGATGTTTAAAGTTGAATGTTTAAAACTATATGTATTTTTACAGATATGAAAATAATCTTGCTGTATTACTTGTTTTTATATTGTCTGTCGTTTTAAATAGTAAACGCACTGTATTAACTACCTATAACAAGTTTTCGTTGATAGTTGGAAGTTTTTGTTTTATGTTATAGGTTGATTTATCGACAATTCCACCATGTTTAAAATTATGAGAATTTTAAGCGGATTAAGTAGAGTGGTTTTTACTTTTCCGCTTTCTCTGGAGTTACAAAAATTTTCATATGAATTACTTTCCAAGATTTATATATGATACATAACATAAAACCAAAATTTAGGTGAAATACATTTTACTTAATTTGGAAATTGGCGAAAATGGCTTCGCAATCCGTACACTATTACCATAATGTTAACTTTTAAAATTTCAAATATACAGGTAGAATTTTCGATAATTTGCCGTAGACGCTTCTGCGCTACGGGTTGTGTTGCACAGTGTGTTCGCTTCCGAAAGATTTTTATTTTTTTCATGTCGAAATAATCGCTATCATCATCACTCTATCTGTGACGCATCTACAGTGATGTTACCTAAAAACATATCGCAAATCTTGTTTTTCTTCCGTTGTGATCTTATCGATAATTTTCCAAAGTATTTAAAAACAAGTGTAGACAATAAACACGAATCATTTCGGGGAATCGTTTCTAGAACCGATTGTTTTGACAGTACCTTAAGCCTGATATATAGTTTTAGTGGCAGCATATATGTAATAAATTTGGCAATATTAGATCGCGGTCAAACATTTAACACCTTCTCAACCGCTGTTAATAATAATAATAATAATAATAATAATAATAATGTATCGGATAATATACGGTGTGTGCCATTAAAAAAAATGAGACCTCGGTGCTTACAAATTTTGAACGTCATAAACAAAATAACGACATCCGGTATAATTCTAAATACAAAAAACTTTTGTTTTTAAACTTTCTTAATAACCATTATAATTTTACAGAAAAGTATATGGGTAACCTTGCGTGAGACATCCTGTACACAAAATCCCTCTAAAGCTGACGCAAACACAAAGGTTTAACGATAAATTTGACAACGTTTACAATATTTTTTTTTACTATCATATTTTAGAGTTTAGAGAAGAGCAAATTCAGCATAGGAGTAACTACCCAAATAATTGCCCGGCAACATTTGATTACGGCCAAACATATAACGCCTTCTCGAATGCGGTAAGCGGCAGCTGATTGACCAAAACGGCTACTTTGATATTGACAGATTACAACTTTCTAAGTTTTAAACTTCATCTATTAGTTTTCTCTATAAATGCCCCTACGTATGTTTATTTTTAACTTTAGTTTTGCCGTAACTTTTACTGTCATTGAAACTATGATCCAGGCTTTAGTATATCGGAAGTAAGATCGAGTAAATTGAGAATCCGTGTCGAAAATTACGCTTATAGATAGCGAAGTTTGATTGTGTACGTCAAAGGTGAAAACGGGACGATAAATATAATACCGATGTACGTAGCTTTAGGTTCTTTTTATTTATTCAGAGTTTCGTTTTTGTTTAAACCAAAGAAGGAAAATATTTATAGTTTTACGATGTAGCTTGGTAAAATATCTTTTAGCTGGTATAACAATATAACTATACGAAACATGGTTATCGGCTTTTTATTTACGACACCTCCGCTGCCCCAAAACGCGCACCTTGCCCGAACGTAGTGTTACATTGTTGAGGTAGAATCGATAGCGGTATTTATAGACCTACGGCGGCAATGAGGTCGCGTATTGCAGCCGACACCATCTCGCCCCGGTTTTTAATATAAAATGACAAATAGCAGCCTTTAAATATCTTCCAGGTTTCCGAGTTTCGGAAAGCGCTGAGAAAAAGTTTCCACTCGCTAGTATACAGAGTGAGGAGGACAGTATATCAATTTTATTCACCTCTAGAAACGGAAATGTTGAGACCAAAACGTTCAGAAATAGTCTAAGAAGTTATATACATAATAATAATAATGCAGCTTGAAAAACCATATGAATAAAAATATGAAATAGGTGAAACCTTTGTTGGCGCATTTTTGAGATTTATAATTTTAATTCGTCATATAAAGATTTTTCCAAAAACGGATGAATGATATAGCAACATCGTTATCTGAGCTTTGTAGTCCCCATATATATGGTTTGTTTTGTCTTTTAGTTATATTAAAAATACTATTATGACAAATTACCCCACATTGGTGCCGCAACGTGTTTTTTTTTTAATTTTTATGAAAATAAAAATAAAAAGCAAGCTAATCAAGTAGTTATTCGAGATATCTAAATATTTGTACCACAAAAGTCGAGTATAAATACCCATACGAGGTAAGTTGACTTTTAAGTTTTATCAATAACCCCCCGAAGTAAGCCCCCTCAGATATAATACACGTTTTTTCCACTCCTCGAAGCACTTCTGGTAACCTCTTTCTGGTACAGCCTTGAATTCTTCCGGTGATTTTTTCTTTATCTCTTCAATCGTTCTTTTCATGAGTTTCTTGAGTTTTGGGAACAGGAAAAAGTATATATCGGGTGAATATGGCGGCTGAGGTATGATTGTGATTTTGTTTTGGCCAAAAATTAGACATAAGTAACGATGAGTGAGCAGGTGCATTATCGTGATGCAAAATCCGTGAATTGTTTTCCCACTATTCCGGACGTTTTATTCGTAGTGCTTCTCGCAAACGGCGCATAACTTCAAGGTAACGCTCTTTATTGACCGTACGACCTTGTGGTAAGAACTCTTGATGTACTACGCCACGATAATCAACTTGACTTGATTTTTTCTGTCTAGGCGATTCTGCGTTCTTCTATTGGGACAACTTTGGTTTCGACGTCATAACCAAATACCCATGATTCGTCAGCAAAGCTTCGGTAAAAATTGCTTGGCACGAACCCATAGAGATGCCGATGTCTTCAGCCACTTCTCTAATAGTGATCTGACGATTTTTCAACACCATTTGTTTCATTTTTCCAACACTTTCATTAGTTATTAACGTGCTGGGCCGTCGAGAGCGAGGTTCGTCATCGGTGTCTTCTTGGCTGAAACTGTGAGCATATGTTAGGGACATGTGTACCAACAAAACAAAAAAAATATCGAAGATCGAATGTACGTAGCCCGCCCAAGCACAAAAGCCACCTTACTTTTTGAACACATGTATTAAATAAATAACCTTATTTAAACTTATGTTAAAGTTATATCAATCTACGTAACATAGACAGTGTGAATTGCGAACGAAATTATTTGAAACGGAAAGTTAATTCTGAGATTAAAAACTTCAAACAGGCCAATTTAAAAAAAATAATAAACAATATAAACAGAAAAAAAAAATAAAATTAAAGAAATGTTGCTTAAGCGGTTGATGCACACAAACGGCAATGATACGTCACCTGCACATTCTTACGTGTGTCTTCATTTATGACAAACAATACATTTTATCCACTGTTCTTTTGGTGCACCGTTGGTAAATTGATCCAAAGAATATAGGCAGAAATAATCGTCTTTATCATCAGTATTTGATGCATTTTTGACAGCTCCTTTTTTTTACAAAGCTTTTGGAAGAGGTCTCAATTTCAATGATATAACCTACCTACCTACCTACTAGCCAATACTGTTTATGGGAATTTCAACAACTCCATATAATTCAGCATCGGTGACTTTATGCAAAAATATTATTAAACTGAATTGTGGAATATAATAATCTTGTGCTGCCCTTCATGGATCTGCCACGAAGTTTACTTTGTTAGGCTGCTCTTACCATCTTAAATCACTTAATCAGAGAAAGCATATACAAGTATGTACTGGGCAATTTGGCGCGTGCGTTGACTTACCTTAGCTTTTGCGAAAACTAGCTCCGAACTTTTTGTTTTTTTTTTAATACAAAAAAGTTAGCAAAATCTAACCTATTCGAAATGCGAAATAAGATATTTGATTTGTGTCTAATGCGAATATGTTCCCAAAAATATTACAAAAAGAACGGGCATTCGGCACTGATGCTCTCTCAAGACCGAACTTTTCTGTGAACATAAGCTATATATATAATAAACAACCTTCCATATTTAAATAATAATAATAATATTTTTTTATTTTCATTGATATATTTTTCTGTATAAGGAAATAACAACCATAGAATAATCGTATAAAACAATGATATCCAGAAGCTTTCTACAGATTGGTAGAAGTCTTTCCATTTGTCGAATGTTTATTAAATACTGATCAACCAAAATTCTATAGTTATTTTTCTACTCCCTACTCTATAATACCAAATTATGGACGGATCACGGAAAGTGAAACGTTGTGACGTCAGCGTCGTTGTCGTTACCCTCGATCGAGACCCATATTTCCGGTACCTTAGTAGGCTCTAGGAACGATAAGACGTTTTCGGCAGATTTATGCCACGATACTATCAGATTCTGGCGGTTAAGTCACACGCTACTCAGTGAATGTATGGTCTAAGACGAAAACTTCTTTAGTCATTCGCTCGCTCGTACGAAATCAAAATCGAGATTAAATTGGTGTTTATCAAACTTTTGCAGCTTGTGCTATTAGTACAGCATTACATTGCTGACCTTCTATAGGAGGGGCGGCATTCTGGACGCCCTCTAGAGCGGCCTGGGGGCACAACGGGCCCATCTGGTGGCCTAAGTGCTTGGACGCCCGCGAGGGCGCCCCCCTTTAATACCAATACCAATACCAATAGTACAGCATTAATAATGGTTGTCGAACACTCCCAGGCTTTAAATAGACATAATAAATAGCGAAAAGTTGTTTTTTTTTTTAAGACCGCTATTCTGCCAATGGCTTTCTCACAATAAAATTTTCAATTTAAACTTTTATTAATTATATACTTAAAAAGACTTACTCTCTACATTTTCCTCTCTATTTAGAGTCTTAAATAATCAGTTTTCTTTAAATTCAGTTACAATGAATTGCCACAAAAACCATTCCAAAAGTTTCATCAGATGATATAAGTTTAGTTTGCATCATTCTTGTACAGTCAGTCGATCAGTGTCCACTTATGAGATAGTTACTAAGACTATTCATAATTTCTACAGAAAATGAAGTTGAACTATATGACAAATGCACACGCTCCGTCGCCAATCTGACGTTTCACCAATTATCCTGTTGGCTTTTTCAGAGCTTAACTGAAACTGATGTTTGGTGAAACTTCAGCGAGTGAAATCCATAAGATTTGTAGATAGTACGTACTTTATTTTCAAGATACTACATGGTGGCAAACTAACATAAAAAACCGTTTTTCTACACAATACCAATATTTATGGCTTTTTATTCGTGTAGCTCATCGAAATGAAAAATCTAAATCTCAGAAACGGGTTTTTAAAACGGCTTTAAGCAATATTTTGTAAACAAGGAACATGTTATATTAAATATACCGTCAATATGATCCATGGTTACAATTTTTATTTGTTACATATTAATTTTCGCCATCATTCTCCTATTTCTTTCCCCAAGTGCGCATAAAATTGTTAACGATAAAAAATTTGTTTAATTGCCTTTTGCACAATAGACCCGATTAAAATTTTACAACCAGTTTCGAAAAAAAAAATGGTAACGGCCGGAGCAAATTGCAATTAACTCGATTTTATACAATTCCGTTTTGGCGTAGCCCATTAAAACGTTCCCCCCGTTAAAGATAATGAATATAATGGTATATTAAAAATCGCGCCCGGCTATGCGCAATAGCAAAAGCGTCGACACAAAGCCACCTTGAATATGAATCGATTGTTCTCATTGGTTAGTTTATCAAATCGGTCGTTGACTATCACCTCGTACGAGTGACAATTGGATGTCAATTGCCCCCAATTTATAACACTTAAGGGACAAGTTATATGCCTATTCTCAATCTTGAAATTTTGTCTATTTGTCCAATAATTTAATTTTTGCGAAAAATGCATTTTCATAAATTAAAGGGTAGGTACGACTCAAGTTGCGTCAGTGATAGTTCGGTGTGCCTTTTTTTATTTTTCCGGAATTCACACGTCAACTAAAATCAAAAGAAAGCATATGTGTCTCTCTGGTACTCACATCGTCATTAGTTAACGATACAACAAAAACTCCAATTAACGGGCTATCTTGTTTCAAGCCATTTCAATTTTGCAGATGTGGTTTATGGTCCATGTTTGGATTAGAATGATAAAAACTGAATCCAGAAAGTTCAAAAATCCTGTTTGAGATTCGTTAATTGCATCAGAAAATTCCTTATCACCTCGCGTAAGTTAAGGAATGCAGGGTGGCTTGGCAAATGTAGAACTGATATTCTGAGATTTCGAGGTCTGATAACCCAACCACAACACTCTATCACATTGTTTAGAAGAAGCTTCTCCTACAACGCGTGTAGTCTGTACAATGGACTTCCAGTAACACTAAAAAAACTAAACATAGGAAGATTTAAGAGGCTGCTTAGTGAAAAATAGATTCCCAGACCTCAATCTAATTGCTCTTTAATCCAGTAACGATTAGTTGTTTTTATTTTATCATTAAACTCGTCACCTTTCTCTCTCTCTCTCTAAGATTAAGAATTCAAAGTTTTATTCACTTAAAAAAAAATCTATCCTCTCTGATATCATGCTTTTTAGTTTAGGCAGTTAGGTAGCTAAGAT